TGAAGATGAGGAGAAGGGTGGAGGATGAGGGGGAGGCGGATGAGGAAGATGAGGAAGATGAGGAGGTGGGCGAGCAGGACGAGGATGAACAGCAGAAGGGGGAGGAGGATCATCGGAATGATCACTCGCTATCGGGGCGCGGTGCTGTAGGGTCTCTCCGTCCCTCCTCCGCTTCCTCGAACTCCTGCGCCGCACCCTTCGCCAACAAGGCTTGCGGGAGGATGGTCAACAAATCATACTGGAAAACAGTGAGGGTGATGAGGAGGAGGAGGACGAGGAAGAGGAGAGGAAGCAGGGTGAGAGGTAGGAGGAGGAGGAGGAGGAGCAGGAGGAGGAGGAGGAGGAGTAGGAAAAGACGACGGCGAAGAGGAGAGGGAGCAGGGTGAGGGGCAGGAGGAAGAGGAGGCGGGCGATGAGGGGGAGGAGGGATGGCTTGGGGGTGGGGACTCTGAGCTATGGTTGGCGAGGAGGCTGAGGCGGAGGAACAGGAGGATGAGGATGACGAGGTCATGGACGAGGAAAAGGAGATGGAGAAGGAGGGCTAGGAGGAGAAGGTGGAGGATGAGGTGGATTATCGGAGTGATCGCTCGCTGGAGGACGGGGTGCTGGGGGGGACTGAGCATGCATATATATATATATATATATATATATATATATATATGGATTCCTCTTGGGGCTCTCATGATGCCATCCTGGGGCGTGGTAAGGCTGTCTTAGGTTCCTGTACGGCCCTCTTGGGCCGTCTTGGGGCCCTCTCGGGCAACCTCATTGCTGTCTTGGGCTGTCCGCCTCCTGGGGCCCTCTAGGGGCTGCCTTGGGCCGTCAGGGAGGTTGGGCTCCTTGAAGACCCTCCATCTTGAGCCGAGAGGACTGGGAAACGTAAGAGATGCGAACATGTATGGAATCGTTATGTTGCTTGGGTGATTCGCGCCGTCCTGGAAATCCTCTCAGCCTTCCCTTAGCTGCCTTCGAAGCCCTCTTGGGGAATTTTCAGCTCCTCTTGGGGTCTTCCTGGGGGATGTCCGGTTCCTCTTGAGGCAGCGTTGGGCCGTCTTGGTGGTATCGGTTGCTTTCCTGGGCCGTCTTGAGAGCATTGGAGTGTTTTTGAGAACGCCATAGAAGCGTCTGGCCGGCCAAGGAGAGGAACACCGGGAAAGGGGGGGGCGACACGCGCAACTGGGTATGACGAGAGAGGTGCGGAGGCAGAGAAGCTTACGGAAAGCCTACCAAGCGGTATTTGGCCTCCCACGACGCCTCAACGTGCCAGGAGGCACGGTGGCGGACCTCAATACGGAGACGGGCGCCACCACGTGGGATCTCCCCGACGAGGACGCCCCGCCTGGAAGGCCGCCGACGCCGCCGTCCCCGTACCGCCTCCTCGAGCACCCCGAGGCCCCAGGCGAGTGGTACTACCTCAATGAGCAGACAGGCGACACTTGCTGGGAGCTGCCCGACGTCTAGGCGGGCATGCCTCCCAGCGGGCGCACGGATGTTGGGCTGAGGCACGGCCGAAAGTTAGGCGTGAGGAAGCAGGAGAGGGTATAGTGGACAAAAAAAACTTCAAAACACACGTCTTAGGTAATTGTTTGGCATGTTGACCTGTGAGGGGCACGGGTCTGGCCCGCCCCCCGGCTCTTCTCGGATATTGCGACCGTGCGCACCACAGGGGCCCCAGGGTATCACGCAAGCGGGGTCACAGAGTCACGCTTGTGATCAGTAGTTGGCGCATGTGTCGCCGCGCCGTTGTTTCCGACACGCGGTCTTGCGTCTCGGGGAGGGCGCCTCGGCCACCAGGGCAAACTCTGCCTCGAACGTGGCGGGTTTGCCGCAGTGCTGGCGTCGTCTGCGTGGGCGCGAGGCGCAGAATTTGCCATGGGTGCGCCGCGGTGTCGGTGTCGTCCACTTGGGTGCGTCGACAACAAACGGCCCGGCGACATGTTGCCTGTCGTTTAACGTCGACCATTAATTGTGTGTGTGTTCACCCTGGCCCGTACCTCACATTTCCGCAGTAGAGTGCCCACATCGCAGATCAGTCCTCGCCATCCTTTTTCGCTCCTGGATGTGGCGCTGTCAATGTGGTGCGGTCCATCCCTAGACTGAGGTGGTTGGGGGACCCATGCAGGGAACCGTCATGGGAAACAGATTGCCATGCCAACCAGGACATTCCATTTCAAGAGATGTGGCCAGGCAGACCGCACACAAGTTGAGCAGGCAAGCTACGGGCAAGCCGAAGGCCAGTTCAAACAAATGCATTGCAACGCAACGCGCTGCGATGCAAACCAAGTCCATGTGAAGTGGTACTGTGGCAATCAAAACCTGCAACGCGCTGCGAAACCACGGAACGCAAAAGCAATGTAATAAGACATGATTTCCACTTGCAGCGCCACGTGCTGTAATGCAATACGCATCTCATGCAACGGCGACGCAGCACAGTGCGAACCTGTCCAACGCAAGTTTTGAAGCGAAAAGCAACGCCATGCAATCTGGACACAGCAAAGCAAAACGTAGCACAGCAATGCAATTGCGCTGCAGAGCAGTTCAAAGGCAACGGAAGGCAGTGTACAGCGATGCTGAACTGCACACTCCACGCGATGCAGTGCACCGCATTTGCACACTGCAACAAACACACACACACATGCGCGCATGCACGGTGCTGGCAAGTAGTACAGATAAATGTGAGGAGCCCGATTCACCCGGCAAGATTCGGCCATCGAGAGGACTGACCAGGTTAATGACACCCGAAGGAACGCCACCCCCCTCGGAGGACCTCCTCCCGCAAAATCAAGCATGTCGGTGGTTGAGATCGCAGATGTCACCGAACATCGCGCAGAACATCAGCATGGGCCCCTGGTACAGGGTTGTTCGCGCATCAAATCAAATCAACATCGCGCATCAAATCGCGCATCAAATCAAGCCAGATTCGAGCTCGAGGCCAGGACCATCGCACGTCGCGCATCAATTCGAGGGCCCCTGGTCACTGAACATCCCGCATCAAATCAATCAGCTGGCCGTTGCAAACTCGTGAGCAGGTGTGATACACATCACGCACTGCTTTCTCCGTAGGGGCTTCGCCTGTTGCCGTCGGCCTTTTCTCCTTTCAGAATGGGAGATGCCAGAGCTCAGGGCTGGACCCAAACGGTGGTTTGGCGATTTCGTGGGCCGTTTTCGCTTCGACTTCGTTTTGCGGTAGAGGTGGGTTGAAGACAAAACGAGGGAACACGAAAACATAACGAAAACGAGAAACACCGTTTAGGTTCAGCCCTGTCAGAGCTGTCCTTGGACGTGTCGGCGCTGTTTCGAAAAGCGCTGAGAGCACCATGCGAGGGCGATGTCCATTCAGCGAGCACCTGGAACGCTGTGCTTCCTTGTCAGAACGCGAACATGGTGTACATTACGGTGTCGCGTGGCCTCGGGAGTGCGACCATGGTGTAATGTACGCGAGATCGTGCCCTCAGGAGCGCGAACATTGATCAATGTACGAATGATTCTGGTGTCGGAGCCCGAATCTGGCATAATGGTCAAAGGATCTTGGCGATCCGATCTTGGCTTCGGGAGGGCAAGTCTGGTGTAATTTGCAAGGGGTTCTGGCCTCGAGCTCGAATCTGGCTTGATTTGCAAAAGATTCCAGCCTCTGGAGCGCAAATCTTGCGTAGTGTACCAAGGATCCGATTGTAATGTGCGGCGGGTTCTGGCCTCCATAGCCCGAACCGGGCGTAAGTTACAATGGGTTCTGGCCCCGGGAGCGCGTATCTGGCGCAATTCCACATTCTAGGTTCGAAAGTGCGAAACTGGCGCACATTATATTGGATTCTGGTTTCGGGAGCGTTGATCTGGAGTGATTTGCAAACCTGTTCTGGCCTAGAGACCAAGAATATGCCACGACGCCGAGCCAACACAGCTGATTGCTGCAAACGAGCTGCAACTGGATCTCTGGGGTATCCTCCTCATCCGCTTCCGTTCGTGTCTATATTTCAGCGTCCATCTATGGTATCCCCAGTTCCTTCCAATTCACTTCTCATCTTTCATCCTCCAGCCTCTCGTCATCCCCACCTGCCTTTCCGTCCTCCTCGTCTGATCGTTCGTTCTCCCCCTTTGTTATATGGAATCCCGGTCATTTATCGGGGGCTCGACGCCTTGGGCATGCAGGGCGGGCGGGCGGGCGGGCTTGCCATACACTCCCCTACGAGGCTGTTGTTCTTGCGCGACGTTACCATGCCATGGCGCTGGATCTGGAGGGGCAGAGGGAGGAGCAGGAGGAGGAGAAGGAGGAGGAGGAGGAGGAGGAGGAGGTAGTGCTGGTGGCCACTGACCGCATCAGGGGAAACAAGCCCCGAGCAGAGCAACGCTCACAACGACGACGACGACGACGACGACGACGACGACGACGACGGAGTCGACGGAGACGACGGAGACGACGGAGACGAGGCGCGCGAACGACCCGATCAAAGCACGGATCTGGGAACGGGCCCACCCAGCGAGGTTTGATACACAGCACATCGTTGGGCGTTGCTGCCCCCCACTCCCGAGCACGGGCATCCCCCAAAACAGCAACCATGAATTCTGCTTGCCCTTTCATGCTTTCATGCCTTGCTGAGCCAGGAAAAGGAGGAGCAGCAGCAGCAGCAGGAGCAGGAGCAGGAGTGGAAGGGGGAGATTCCCGAGGGATATCAAGGCCTGGCCCGAGCCAAATCCCCAGCTTGAGCTTCCATCCCCCAATCGCCTTCCTGCACCTGCAAGGAGGGGGGCCCTGTCGCGGCTCACGCGTGGGTGGATCGCAGCCCAGTTCGTGGACAGGTATCAAGCTTCTGATGACCTCCCCCCCAATTTTCATGTAGGGGCTCCGGCTTGTGGACTCGGCCCTTTAGTAAGGCAAGAGGCAGGGGGAGGCGGAGGAGGAGGATGCGGAGGAGGAGAAGGGGGAGGAACTGGTGGAGGAGGCGGCGGAGGAGGCGGAGTAGGAGATCGTCCTCAAGAGACGGTCCTCGGGCGCGGCCGTCGAGGCAGCGAGCCCTGGGCTGCCGCAGCAGCAGCCAGCGGCAACGATGGCACGGGCGGCGGGGGGGCCGCAGAGGACCGGAGGAGTGGTCGGGGAAGCCGAGGAGGTGCCGGGGAGGGCCCGACGCGCTCGGGGAAGGGGCCCCGAGCGAGGCGGGCCCGAGGGCCGGGCCAGGGCGCGCGGGAACGCCCGATGCCTGGCGCACGGCGGTGCTCGAAATGGGGGCGCGAGGCGCGGGGAACGGGAATGCCTCGGGGGGGGGGGGCGCTAGAACCCCAAGCCCAGATCGGGCCGAGGCTGGCGGCTCGGGGTGAGTTCGGATCGGTCCGAGTTCGGTTCGCATGGCGACAGCTGCTTCAGCTGGACGCTTCCCCCCTCCGTCTCCTCTCCTCCTCCTCCTCCTCCTCCTCCTCCTCCTACTACTACTACTACTCCTACTCCTACTCCTACTCCTACTCCTACTCCTCCTACTCCTCCTCGGCTCGTGGCGTCAGTCGCGCCCGCGCGCGCGGGCCCAGCCAGCCTGGGAAACAGGATCTCGGAGAAGCCGTGGAATGATGGACCCCCTTTCTCCAACCTCCAACGTCCTCTTTCTGCTGCTCCTCCTCCTCCTCCTCCTCC